AAATAAATAAAAACAAGGATAATTGTGTGTTATTGATGAGTAAATAACAGTGTGTTATTTAGAAAATAATAACAAATTAGAAGGAAAAAAAGTTTTTTAAAAATACAGATTTCAGTATTCTGAGGCCCTGAGTCTGAGCCCCATTTATTTTCCTCACTGACGGCAAAAAAAGTCAGACATTATACGATTTAAAATTAAAAACAATAATTGTGGCTTGATATTGAGTAAGAACAATAGACTGTATAAAGAACATGTGTTTATGAACCACACAGCTTCCGGTCTTCCAATACCCGACCGGACAAAAAGTCGTGTTGCAGGCATGAAACCCACTACCAATAGAAATACATTCCTTTTAAAATCACAATGGTCACTCTGTAGAAGACTGCTTTTTTCTACATTTGCCCGAAATCAAGGACACATTGTTCTATTAACTGCTGAGAATATTTGAGCAATACATGTACCACTGTTGTTGTAAAATATGTATATGCTGAGCGGGAGCAGAGAAGACTTGCAGGTGCAGTAACAGTAAGCAAGTGGGGGCGGGGTTTGAGGAACTGTTAATTGTGCTTCCAGTCCTCTTTTAATGTTAAGCATCATAGACTTGTTTCCACTTAGCCTGCCTGACCTGTACAGGCATATTAATCAACTGCAGATAGCTCGTCTCAGGACACCCTCATCCAAATAACTGAGGTTAAGTAGAGTCAGCAGCCGTCTGGTGCAAAGGTCAACATCCTCTGTCATTTGGGAGTGATGGGACAGCAGTTCCAGTAGCAGGTGCAGTAACTGTCAGGAAATACTTAAGAGGAATGCTTTGGTAACAAACAGTCATTGGTTGAAAGTGAGCAGAGCTCCTCAAGATTTAAATTATACGATAATTGTCTTTCTCATCAGTCCAACTACTGACACAAACAGTGAAAATGTGCTAATGTACCACCAGCAACGAATATTATGAAACCTGTGTGGTTGTTAACTGTTAGAGGTACAAAGGTCCAGAACCTGATTTGTTATAAATTCCTAGATACTTTTTTAACAGCATTGTCATTTATTCAGAATATGTTTGCTAATGTTGGAATAGTAGGATGTGGCTAAAAAAATGATGTTCCAGAAATAATAAATTATCAAAATGTTTCAACTGATTTGATAGTAATATTAGCATGTTAGCAGCAAAGCGGTTTACTTTCCCAACTGTTTTTAATCATGTCCATACGACCACCAATATTATTCACAAATATGTTGAGGTTTAGGGAGAAAGTGAAGGTATTGTGCTAATTTAGGAACATGCTAATTTAGTCAACTCTTCGTCCACTGTGTATTTGACTTCAACAGAACTTTACCACACGGATTGTTGCAATCAGACAGAAAAAGGATATGCATTGCATTCAGCTAAAAACGTTATGGCTGTGTTAGCACTGTTATATCATTTGCGCAATCCCTTTTGTGAAATAGACCTTGAGATTGGTTTCAAAGCGGTTGCATAAAATACACAATTCAAGGAGCGAGCACAATTAATTTATTTGTGAATTTGCCAACAATGTCGAATTTGTGATATCTCTAGCAGGCAGTTATTTTCCCTCATATTACGCAATGGCTTGTTAAGCTGTAGCTCAACTTTTCAGTTACAAAAACCAAGCCAGGGTAGGTTAGCACTTGCCAGATGGAAACTGACTTCACTGATTCACGGTTGGGGCAATACAACAACAAAACAACAATGGTAATTCAAATTGGAGTTAATCAAGAAAAAGAGTTATCAACCTATCATTACATTAGTGTCACCAGTCAAAACATCACACAAACACATCCCCCTTTGGTGGTGTCATAAAAACACCACATTATTTGTGCGAACACAACATTTAATTTGTACTTCCTTAACTGCAGTACAGGTTTACCACTGGCTTAACTGTACACTTGCCACCCATAACTAACATTTAACAAACTTACCATGCATTAAATGAAGATTATTTTTGTTCATGTGAATTCCTATTGGCAGAGATTCCTATTAGTGATCACACCAAAAACCATGGTGCACATAATTCAGGCCATATGGGAATTTCCTCTCCATTGTAGGTGTGTGTGTAGCATCAGGATGGCAATTTCCTTTCAACATTGAAAGAGACATTGGCCGAAAGATGAAATATTGTAATAATCCTCTAGAAACCTGTTTTCAGACTATTTTACCCTTCTTTTAATTGATTCAGATTAAATGTTAATGTTCAAATTAATTCAATTAGAATAAGACTACATGCAGAATATGTATATATTAATGGTTTAACCATGTTTTACGTTCAGAACAGAAAGTCTGAAAGCCAACCAGTTTTGCTAGCAACTTGGTCTCTAAACCCAACCCACAAAAAAAAAAAAAATTCAAAATATAGAAATATCTCAACAACTATTGGATAGATTGCCATGACATTTCTATATAAAAAATGTATGATCCCGAGAGCTAGCATGAATACCTTGGTGATCCAGTAACGTTGTCTTTAGCACCACCATTATAGTGACTGAGTGGCATATCTTCACAACTGTTTGGAGGAAGTTCAAGACGAGTTCAAATGTAATGACTCGAGCCCGACTTAAGTCAAAGATGCTCAGAGCGTATTCAACTCATCTTTCTATCTCTCTGACATGTTGACACAGTTTTGCTTCTGACTGCTTCATAGAGGCATGGACAGAAACATTGAACAATTGAGTGGATTTTGTACAGATTTGAAGGGTCCGTATTATAGAAACAGCGTGGTACAACTTTTACTTAATTGAAAGAAAACTTTTCAGACAATGACATGTAGCCGTTTTGTGTATTACCCTCTTTCACTTATTAACTGCATCCATTCCTCTTCATTGACATTGTCGCCTCTGGCCTGATAGTATTGTAGCTTTGAGTTTACTCAAGTGAGGCTCTCTGCTTCAGATCTGATTTCTCTTCAAGCTTATACTTGCACAAAGTTATGGGTTGTAAACATTTGTTCTGGGAGAGAATATGGCCTCAAGTCTCTGTCAGTGGCTCAGAAAACACTGAAACCTAATGACATATTATGAATATTGAATCATCTATGTTACTGCATAAAAAAAGACTCCGATGAGTGCACTGGTTCATTTGAAATATTGTCGGTTTTTACATGTATTTCTTATTGAAATGGCAGGTGTTAAATAAAACAAAATAAAACAAAAGGGCAGTAGTATATCACAATCCGTTAGTGTTAATTTTAATGAGCAGGCAAATACAGTGGTGAAGGAATGAGTCTTTAGAACCGGAAATTAGTTAGCATTTTTAACTTCCCTTGTCTCGAAGTTAGCGTTTTTTTGGAAGATGTTTTGGATTAGATGCCTAGAATAAAGTTAACGCTAGTTTAAGAGAATTTATCTATGCGTCATTAAAACGGTGGTTACTAACAAAGGACCAGAGATGGAGTACTCGAGTCCTGGACTCGGACTCGAGTCGGACTCGAGTGCCGATTTTCGGGGCTCGTGACTTGACTCGGACTCGCGCACTGATTGACGCGACTCAGACTTGGACTCGTGAATTCTCGCCACGATGACTTGGACTTGGACTCGTAAATTCCCCCCCCCCACGATGACTCAGACTCGACTTGTACATTGAAGCTCTGACTGGGACTGGAACTCGGACGCGAGCAAATTTTCTCTGGAGTCTGATGTCCTCTAGTGTGCACCTGCGAGGCGAGTTCACGGACTGGGCCCCGCTATTCCAGTCTAGCAATGTCTAGAGACACACCCCGCCCACATCTGCTGTATGCTTTCACACATTCTGCTTCCATATTGGAAAAGAGCAGCGCAAAATGCTCGTTATGTGGAAACAATATTGAAGAGAAGGCTCCGTAACACATTACTCTAAGGATCGAGTTCAGACATATAGGCAGTCTTGAACACTATAATCAGAGTAACGTGATCTAATCAATAAATAAAGATTCAGCCGATAACACGAAAGCACATGGCTACTTAACATGCAGAATGACGTCATTTTGCATGCTAAGTAGCCATGTGCTTTCTGGGGCTAAATCTTTATCAGTAAACCGATTTAACCTGTAAAAGTTCCTTCAAAATAAGAGTCCCGATCTTATTACTATCAAAATAAAAGTGCAAAACGAAAACTTTACCATAGGAAAATATTGGCATACAAATATAATCACTTCTCTAAAAGGCAACTCATTTTAAATATAGTTTATTTATATATAATAATAATAATATTAATATTAGTAATAAGCTTTATATTTGTATAGCGCCTATTACAAGAATTGTAGCCAAACTCGCTTCACAGCAGTTCAATAGACAGATTAGTTTAACATGACAGGATAAAAGCAATGTAGAGGAGCAGCTGCATTTCAACACATATATCCACAAAGATTAATACATGAAGACTTGTGACTCGGACTTGACTTGGACTCTTCTTAGGTGACTCAGACTTGGACTCGGACTCGATCACAGGTAATGATGACTCGGACTCGACTCGGACACTCCTTGGGTGACTCGGACTTGGACTCGGACTCGAACACAGGTAATGATGACTCGGACTCGGACTCGACTCGGACACTCCTTGGGTGACTCGGACTTGGACTCGAACACAGGTAATGATGACTCGGACTCGGACTCGACTCGGACACTCCTTGGGTGACTCGGACTTGGACTCGGACTCGACTATGACTCTCCCTTGGTGACTCGGACTCGGGCTCGAAGAGTGGTGACTCGAGAGTGACTTGGACTCGTGAATTGGTGACTTGACTACAACACTGCAAAGGACTAACTACCCTACTACACGTCATTACCCCGACAAGTGACCACCTGTTGCTTAGCTTCAGAAATCATAAAGTGGTGTTAATCTGTTGAGATTATCCCACTATTTTGCTCCCAAAATCAAATGGGATGGGAATTGCTTATGTTAAAGGAACCCTTGAAATAAGGCTAACTTCAGGGTCAACATACAAAAACACTCTATGCACCACTATATGGATGGCATTTATTAAGAAGTTGATGTGTTTTTTCTTCTCTAGCGCCACCTTCAGCAATGGCCAGGTCCAGACCGTACCAAGGGGTTCGAGTCAGAGACCCAGTCAAAGAGCTGCTGAGGAAGAAGAGGAGTCTGGATCCTCACAGCACCAAGACAGCCCCCGCAACCGCAGTGAGGGCACCACGGCATTCATTAACATGATTGTTGTTTTTTCAGGCACTTTGGAAGAGAGACACTTTTCTCCATCAGTTAAAATGTGTTGGTGACTTTTGAGGATCTGAATTCCCCACCCTATTTACACACTTAATATAACAAAGCAAAGTTTCCCTCGTGCTTTTGGAACATGTGTTAATCACTCCAAACCTGGCAAATACTGAAACCACACAGTAGCAGCAGCAGTTACTGTATGGAGTAATGATTGCTCAGGATTATGAGTTGTCGGACTAATCCAACATTTCAAATGTGTGTTTTGTGTTTTACTGGAATACTTGAAATAAAGATGCAGCAAATGTACTTTTAAATGTTTCAAATACAAAACATTTCCAGACAGGGCATTGACAGAGACAGGTTTTTCTCTGCCTAGTTTCCATGATCAATATACTTTATCACTTATGTGCAGAATCATGTCTAAATAACATGTTGCAATTGTAATTATTATGTTTTTATAGCATTTAAGATGGTTAATCACCATTAGTCTCCAGGCAGTAAATTATCTTCAAGGTTTCTGCAGCACTGAGGCCGATTGAGGATTCAAAAGAAATTAACTAGTGGTTGTAGAAGTCGCCATTGTCAAGAGCAAGCTGCAACACACTCTCCCTCTGGATGGGAGAGTAACTTTTACCATTAGAACATTATTAAACCAATCATAGCTGGAATATTAGAGAGGTGAAAGGGAGGGCCAAATTGAGGCCATCAGGTTGTGAGCATTCAAGACTCAGGGCAAATCCCCAAGCAAAGTGGGGTGTGTGTGTGTGTGTGTGTGTGTGTGTGTGTGTGTGTGTGTGTGTGTGTGTGTGTGTGTGTGTGTGGGGGGGGTTGCCCTTATATAATCCAGGTGTTTTTCCATGACGGTTAAAGCCTTCCCTTGAATGGCTCCAGGGCTCGGCACACAGCCCTATGCAAAATGATTTGCAGCTTTGCCAAAGACCCTCCCACTTGCTATTTATTACATCTACTAGACAAGGAAAAGGCACACACACGAACAAACGCACACATTTACTCATACACACCATTTGACTGAAATAAATCATGAGTAGTTGTATGTTATCTTAGTTGCGAAATGTAATGAAACTTCTCTGCGTGGGAGCATTTCTGTGGAACATGAATGTTGATTTTGAAACTTACATTGGATAAGATCCAAGCATTCTTTAACCTAAGCGTACTCCAATTTTGCAAAAAAAGTGAATTCATATTTCGTGTGTACTTTTGACCTTAAAGGGTCCCTGGGTTTTTTAATGAATCCAATGTTGTTTATCACTGCCGTAATCATAGTTATCCTACCTAATTAGCAAAATTATGTGTACAATGTACAAAATCAAAGTAAAGAAAAGATTGAGAGTTTTACATGTTCAAATTATTTCTGGACAGGGTGACTTCTAGACAGTTCTGCTGGCTGCCTGGCAACATCACAGGATGACAAAATGTCTCTATATATGGTTGTTGTTGTTATTGCACTTACCTATAATTAGTAAAAAGTTAATTACCAAGCTTTTGAACTCCCGGCAGGATTTCTTTTAACCTTCGAACAGAGCCAGGAGCTGTTTTCCTTTGTCTTTATGCTATGCTAAACTAACGGTAAACTTTATATTTTGTATTTTTGGTAGGAAAACAAATAAGCATATTTAAAAAATGCAACATATTTCATTAAGTTAAATATTCATTATTAACAAAAAAACATCCAGATGAGAGTTGTGCAACTCTCACTCATGCTTTTAAAAGCAAAATTAACTGTGAAGTCTGCAAATTATCCAAAATAATGGGGGCACTCATTCTTAAATAAATATGGTAATTGTGAATGTTTTAAAGTTGGCTAATGTATCATTACTGTGAACATCACAAATTAAAACTATATTCACTGCCATTGTATCAAATCGGAACCAGAAATCCCAGAAACAGATAAGTGAAAAGCAGGACAAAAATCTCCATGGCAAACCAAGGTTGAATTCGCCTTTATCGTCTGACAGTTCACAAGTTTTTATCAGGAGTAATTTTTTTCCTCCAGATTTGCTCTGATGTGAAGAGCAGCAGGCTGACATAATGTACAAGGGATTATTGTTTAGCCACAGAGCTTTGGCTTGAGATCCTCCTATTTGCCATAGTGTCTTGTTTAAGTGCCTTCAGTTCACAGTTAAACAAATACACCCATCAGTCAGGAAAAGGGGATTTTTTTTTAAATGTCAGCTTGTCTCCTGATGGTTGAATGACCATTAGCACTTAAACATTAGATGAGTCAACTCTAGGATGGATAAAGTGCTTTAAGAACATTTAAAAATAAAATTAAAATAATACAAGGACCTGTGGGTCCGTCACCGTAAAGAGTCCCCGGGGAAATTGCGAAGCCTGTTTTACTGTTCCGGGTGGGGTTATTGAGCAGGATGGAGGCAGGGGTGATTTTATATCGTGTACATTGATGTTGTTTGTTTGTCATATTTTTCATATATATTATATATATTTCATGAACACAAGTTAATTCCATTTTCTGATTTGGTCCAGAGGTATGGCAACATTACAACTCAAATCATCCATGCAAAGAAAAGTTAACAGCAACACTTTGAGCTCTTACCCCCCCTCAGAAATATTCCAAATCAAGAAAAAAACTGCTTTCAAAAATATATAAATGAATGTATTCTGCAGACTTAACAATGTCCATCCCCTCAAATAAATTGGAAAAAGATCTACAGATCACCCTGAACGCCGACTTCTGGTCTCAAATCTGCAGAAACATCTTCTCCATATCAACCAACACCAACATGCACCTCATACAATATAAGGTTATTCCCAGAGGGCACTACACAGGGGAAAGGATGTTTAAAATGGGTTTGGTAGATTCTGACATCTGTCCTCATTGCTCACTTAACACCACAGACACCTACAATACATGCATGCCACATGGGAATGCACACCAGTTAAGCAATTCTGCCATCACATCACTGACAACCTCTCTCTGTTGCTGGACTGCCACAACCCTCTTCTGCCATCCCTTTGTTTACTAGGAGACATTTCCAATGTGAACATCAACATTACATCAAGTAGAATTCTGTCCATAGCCCTAATCATTGCAAAAAAAACTATCCTCATGAATTGGAAATCACGAGACAACAGCAAAATCACAATTCGGAAAAAACTGCTTATAGCATACATTTCAATGCAAATATTATCGGCCGGCATAAAAAAACAAACCAATGATATTGATGCAATCTGGAACCCATTTATTATACATTTAATTAATAACCCTCAGTCCGATTTCACCCACCACCTGTTTCTACTTCTTTAAGGTCATACTATTTATATGCCCTAACCCTATTATATTGTTACTCATTTCATTTTCATTTTGTAATTTATTACTCTCTTTTAGTCCAATCCCCCAGACGCACACACACACACACACACACACACACACACACACACACACACACACACACACACAGTTTTTATTTTCTGTTTTTGTCTCGATGTATATGTTATTGTTTGTCTTACTTATACTTGTAACTTGTAAATGATCCTTATTAAAAGAAAAAAAAGAAGAACACATTTTCAATGACCACCTACTGTACCCCCCCTACACATTTACATTACATACATGTAGCCTATGTGCTTTAAGAACATTTTTTTTCTTTTTTGTTTTAATGATCTTTACTGTACATTCCGAAAGGATTTAATAAATCAAATGCAAAGCGGATGTTGTAGTCCCAAACGATAGCTGAGGATTATGGGTAGTGTAGTGTCTTCGGCCATCCTAAACTCCCCAAAAACTATTTGTTTCTCCGAATCGAAGGTTAAAAACACATA